TTACTTGGACACGTAGGAAGACTAGCCACAGGACTAGATAACTTTGACACCCATGAACACTAGCCACAGGACTAAGTAACTTGGACACCTAGGAAGACTAGCCACAGAACTAAGTTACTTGGACACGTAGGAAGACTAGCCACAGGACTAGATAACTTTGACACCTAGGAAGACTGGCCACAGGACTAAGTAACTTGGACACCTAGGAAGACTAGCCACAGGACTAGATAACTTTGACACCTATGAACACTAGCCACACGACTAGATAACTTGGACACCTATGAACACTAGCCACACGACTAGATAACTTGGACACCTATGAACACAAGCCACAGGACTAAGTTACTTGGACACCTAGGAAGACTAGCCACAGGATTAGGTAACTTGGACACCTATGAAGACTAGCCACAGGACTAGATAACTTGGACACCTATGAAGACTAGCCACAGGACTAGGTAACTTGGACAGCTGGGAAGACTAGCCACAGGACTAGGTAACTTGGACAGCTGGGAAGTTTAGCCACAGGACTAGGCAACTTGGACATCTGGGAAGACTAGCCATAGCACTAGGTAACTTTAACACCTAGGAAGACTAGCCACAGGACTACGTAACTTGGACACCTAGGAAGACTAGCCACAGAACTAAGTTACTTGGACACCTAGGAAGACTAGCCACAGGACTAGATAACTTGGACACCTATGAACACTAGCCACAGGACTAGATAACTTGGACACCTATGAACACTAGCCACAGGACTAAGTTACTTGGACACCTAGGAAGACTAGCCACAGGACTAAGTAACTTGGACACCTAGGAAGACTCGCCACAGGACTAAGTAACTCGGACACCTATGAAGACTAGCCACAGGATTAGGCAACTTGGACACTTAGGAAGACTAGCCACAGGATTAGGCAACTTGGACACTTAGGAAGACTAGCCACAGGACTAAGTAACTCGGACACCTAGGAAGACTAACCACACGACTAGATAACTTGGACACCTGGAAGACTAGCCACAGGACTAGGCAACTTGGGCACCTAGGAACACTAGCCATAGGACTAAGTAACTTGGACATCTAGGAAGACTAGCCACAGAACTAAGTTACTTGGACACCTAGGAAGTCTAGCCACAGGACTAGATAACTTGGACACCTATGAACACTAGCCACAGGACTAAGTTACTTGGACATCTAGGAAGACTAGCCACAGGATTAGGTAACTTGGATACCTATGAAGACTAGCCACAGGACTAGATAACTTGGACACCTATGAAGACTAGCCACAGGACTAAGTAACTTGGACACCTATGAAGACTAGCCACAGGACTAAGTAACTTGGACACTTAGGAAGACTAGCCACAGGATTAGGCAACTTGGACACTTAGGAAGACTAGCCAAAGGACTAAGTAACTTGGACACCTAGGAAGTCTAGCCACAGGACTAGATAACTTGGACACCTATGAACACTAGCCACAGGACTAAGTTACTTGGACACCTAGGAAGACTAGCCACAGGATTAGGTAACTTGGACAACTATGAAGACTAGCCACAGGACTAGATAACTTGGACACCTATGAAGACTAGCCACAGGACTAAGTAACTTGGACACCTATGAAGACTAGCCACAGGACTAAGTAACTTGGACACCTATGAAGACTAGCCACAGGATTAGGTAACTTGGACACTTAGGAAGACTAGCCACAGGATTAGGCAACTTGGACACTTAGGAAGACTAGCCAAAGGACTAAGTAACTTGGAAACCTAGGAAGACTAGCCACAGGACTAGGTAACTTGGGCACCTAGGAACACTAGCCATAGGACTAAGTAACTTGGACACCTAGTTAGACTAGCCACAGGACTAAGTTACTTGGACACTTAGGAAGACTAGCCACAGAACTAAGTTACTTGGACACCTATGAAGACTAGCCACAGGACTAAGTTACTGGGACACCGAGGAAGACTAGCCACAGGACTAAGTTACTGGGACACCTAGGAAGACTAGCCACAGGACTAAGTTACTGGGACACCTAGGAAGACTAGCCACATGACTGGATAACTTGGACACCTATGAACACTAGCCACAGGACTAAGTAACTTGGACACCTATGAAGACTAGCCACAGGACTAAGTAACTTGGATACCTATGAAGACTAGCCACAGGACTAGATAACTTGGACACCTATGAAGACTAGCCACAGGATTAGGTAACTTGGAAACCTAGGAAGACTAGCCACAGGACTAGGTAACTTGGACACCTAGGAAGACTAGCCACAGGACTAAGTAACTTGGACACCTAGGAAGACTAGCCACAGAACTAAGTTACTTGGACACCTAGGAAGACTAGCCACAGGACTAAGTTACTGGGACACCGAGGAAGACTAGCCACAGGACTAAGTTACTTGGACACCTGGGAAGACTAGCCACAGGATTAGGTAACTTGGACACCTAGGAAGACTAGCCACAGGACTAGGTAACTTGGACATCTGGGAAGACTAGCCAAAGCACTAGGTAACTTTAACACCTAGGAAGACTAGCCACAGGACTAAGTAACTTGGACACCTAGGAAGACTAGCCACAGAACTAAGTTACTTGGACACCTAGGAAGACTAGCCACAGTAT